TGGCCGTTCAGACTGAAGTCGCATTGCAAAACATCGGATATGTATGCGATTTAGGGCCACATATGAAAGTGGCCTGGGCCGGATTTGAAAAAATCGGATTTGTGCTGTTCACACTGTCATAAGGAAATCAGATATGGGTCGCATTTGGGCAAAAAGATCGGATTTGAGCCACTTCAGCCTGCAGTGTGAACGTGGCCTTATTCTACATGCATACATGAAAATGCATGGACACAGTAAAAGAACCCCATGTTTCTGCCATTGTGTTAAAAATAAAAAGGAACATTGGGCAAAAGATGCTGAATAATGCTGAGAGCATCTAGAGACCAACATTAATGCCAACACTGAAGTACTGTCAAATACTTTAAGTACTATGGTTGGGTACCAAAGCCCGGTGCCAATATGGCACCAGTTCCTATACAATCAGTATCTACCAAACCAAATCACAATGCAGATTTTAGTGCCTCATTTTGGTGCCACTTAAATGCCTGTTGATTGAAATATTTGCTTTCTGGTGAATCAGACGATACAGGCAAAAGATGCATCACTGCACATCACATGGTAATAATATCAGTACATTTCATTCCATTTACCTCTGAGCTTGGAATTCAGAGCTGGGAAGGAAAGGCAATGTTTTTTCCTTTCTTAAATGGGTTCTGATACCATTTAGGCACCAATTAAAGTATTGTTTTAGCACCGGAATCAGGAAAAACTAAATGATATCCAACCTTAGTAAGTACAGTAAGAATCCTTAGGGAGTAACTACAGAAAGCTGACTGATCATCCATACCATGAAGCCTTGTCAATGACAAAATTGATTCTTTGTATCTATGAGCCTATATGTAAAAATCAAAAAGGGTCATATCATCCTCTTTAATAAACAGTAGTCAAGGATTCAAATACTTTCTAAGTCCAGTGCAAGACAGTTAGAAATGTAGCCAACTGAATGCAATAAAATCTTGATAGAATGCCTCTTTTCTATCTATGTAAGGCCAGATAGTTTTCACTTCTTATTTAACTCCTCTTTTTCATTAAAGGTAGCCGTCTTGCCCCGTCATCCTTTATCATTTACAGTCCAGTAAGATAAAAAAAAAAAAACCTGTAATAGCCACTCCATATATCCAGCATGTCAATTTAATATGAATGTGAAATGATTTGGTATGAATGTGCGGGGTGCGCTGGAACTATCTCATTACTATCTACCACAGGATTCAAGATGGGATTGAGAAGTTCACTTAAGGTTAACCCCAGCTTTGCTTTGTTATTTGCACATCAAGACAGAATTGGTTAAGATTAGATAGTCGTGGGGGGCATGCTGTTGCCAAGTGAAAGAGATGGGTTCAGGTAATGTGCCAAATCTTACAGTAGGATAAAGTTTGTTTTTTACTGATGAAGCTGCTTCATCTTACACACCGATGGAAGTTTATTTTTCTCAAGTTGTATTCATTTTAATGAAAGTAGCATGCACTGCTGAAAAACAATTTAACACAGAGTTCTTCTCTTGACAACTTAAAGTATCAGGATTTACTGTAGAATTAACAGTATGATAAAGTAATAGCTAAAAATACTGACACCCCTGCATTTCTGTCAGATAACACACTACTTCTCCCAGAAAACTGTTGCAGTCACAAATTTTTTGGTATCCTCATGTTTATTTCTTTTGTTTTCATTGGAACAACACAAAAAGTAGGAAAAAGCCAATCTGATACAGTTCGCACAGAATGCCAAAAATAGACCAGACAGAATTACTGACACCGTGAGCTTAATGTTTGGTAGCACACCCTTTGGACAAAATAACTGAAATCAATCACCTCCTGTAACCATCAGTGAGCTTCTTCCACCTCTATTGGAGTTTTGGACCAACTCTTCTTCTGCCAGCTGCTCCAGGTCTCAGATTTGAAGGGATCCTTCTCCCAGCTGTTGTTCACTTCAGAACTCTCTGGCACATTGTCTGAAAGCATTTCTGGTGCTTTTTGCAGTCTGCTTTGGGTCATTGTCCCAACTTTCTGACACTGGGCCGTACATTGCGCCCCAGAATTCATTGGTAATCTTCAGATTCCATAATGCCACACACACACAGTCAAGACATCCAGTGCCTAAAGCAGCCCCAGGTCATCTTGAATTTGTTAGGAAGTTGATCATGGGCTGTAAACTTCTTGACAATGTTGTGCACAGTGGACACAGGAACAGCCAGATCTCTGGAGATGGACTTGGAGCCTTGAGACTGTCCATGCTTTTCCACTACTGTGCCTCTCAACTCCTCAGACAATTCTTTGCTTTTCTTTCTTTTCTCCATGCTCAGTGTGGTCCACACGACACAAAGGTTGAGTCAATTTTTCTCCATTTTAACTGGTTGCAAGTGTGATATCTATATTGTGAGCACTTGTTGGTTGCTACAGGTGAATTTCATTACAAATTAAAGGACGATCACATGCTTGAAATACAACTATTTCCAATGACTTTGAAAAGGTGTCAGTAATTCTGTCTAGTCCATTTTTGGATGTCTGGGTGGAATGTATCAGATTAGGGTTTTTGTGTTGTTCCAATGTAAACAATAGAAATAAACACAAGAATATTTGATGATTGCAACAATTTTCAGAGAGAAATGGTGCATTTTATGACAAAAATGTGTTATTAAATTTATTTTAATAACAAGAAAATGAAGGAGTACAAAATTTATTACTTTGCTGCAACATGCAATATTGCCTTTATCTCATTTAATACAGTTGATTTAGTTTCTTTTCTAGCTGTGTTTTTCACTGATTTTTTGGACATAAGATAAGAAAAAAGACATATGTCTAATCCAAATCAGTGGATTAAAAAGAATTACAACTATCTGGAAGGATTCACATGAAAAAACATGTTGCATGAAAACCACAAAAGACATCTACAAGACAGACTTCCTCATTACTGGCAGTGAAGAAAAGCTAAGTTTAGAGTCCAACAATTTTAATAGGTTTTGGAGGTGTAAATGGATGGTAATAAGATCTGATTTCTCGGGTCCCCTGCTGGAATTAATGGGCATCTGTCGGAGCTCACAGCTCAACTTGGACCACACACTGCTTCATTTAAGAGTTACTCATCAGAAGTTGTAAACTTTGAGCAGTTCTGAAGCATTATCCCTTAGGATAAGGAATGTGAAAGCTGGCTTACAGCTACTCTATCTCCAATCAACTATGACTTTAACAGAAGAAAATATGACATTACTCAAGAGAAAATTGGATCCTCTTAAGAATTAATAATTTTTGAAAAATAAAGGCGAGCAACAACACTGTTACAAACTGCTTTTCAGTAGGGTTGGGAGAAAAATAAAATCTATTCACATTAGACTCACAATTCATATCTTACATGATTCAAAATTAATTCACAAATGCTAAAAATCAAATTTTTAAATATTGTTGATGGAACAAAAAAGGCAAAACACAACCGCAAAGCCACTGTAGCACACATACAGCGCACACATACAAGAGGTGTGTTGTACAACTATGGTTGTAACATTAGCTCATCTTCAGAAAAGCAAATCATTTGTGCATGTGTTAATACTTGATAATGAGTTTTGAAAGACAAGTGTGGAGGACTGTCTGTATTTGGTAGCCCATCACCAATAGACTGACATTAGCATAGTGGAGAAGCGAACGTAGTAACAAACAATAGCAGCTCAAAAACACAAACTGCAGCACTTCAGTCAAACTGGTAGGCCAAAGAAAACACCTCATTTCTATAGACCTGTGCCCGATCACGCTGGCTTTCTCCGGTAGTAACGCTACAGCACAGACCCTGTTCTCCACTGCTGCAGATGTAACGTTAACAACAACACAACCAAGTGTTCTGCTTTGTTATTCCTCCTCCGCTTTACAATACACGCACCAGGTACCAAAAACCAGCACTGGATCCTACTCAGATTGTTTACTGAAAAAAAACGTAGCTGCACCATAGAGTAAAAATACTCTGAGTAAAAGTCCTGCATTCAAAATACTACTTAAATAAAAGCACTAAAGTATTTGCACCAAATTATAACCTGAGGTACCAAAGGTAAAAGTGTTTGTTATGCAGACTGGCACATTTATATTATTGGATTATAATTAATTGTGTTCATCACATTTGATGCTGCAGCTAGTAAAGATGGAGCTAATCTGAATAACGTTAAGTACCGAGCAGTATGTAAAGTACATGGTATTAATGCTCATCAGAACCATTTAGCTTAACTGTCTGTTAAAGCTGCATTAACTAACTTCTCCCTCAGTGCGGATTTTAACAACACTGCCCGGAAATGGGTAGAAATTACCACAGGGCCTGAAGATTGCAGAGTGGAGTGTGGGGGCATAGCCCCTTTTCCACCACCTGGTACCGGCTCAACTTGATTCGACTCGCCTTATTTGTGTTTCCATCAGTCAAATGTTGGGGATAGTACCTGGTATTATTTTTGGTATCACCCCCATCGAGGTTCCAAGCGAGCAGAGGCAATACCAAACAGTGACGTGTAAACACTAGCGACTGGTCAAAGAAATTGCATCGTCAACATGCGAAACATCCTGGAACAAAGAAGGCAGCATTTTTGAAAGCAATGTTATTTAATGCTAACCACTGTAGATACTGTACTAACTAATAATAGCCACATACCAAGACTCACAAACAGCATATCTTCGATGTCCTCCATTGTTATTGTGTTGGTGGCTGACGACGTAACAGCAGTGTAATGCAGTGTTGCTATGACAACCAGTTACACTGAGAGGGGATTATCCGCAGTGATAAGCCAAGGAGCTGGTATCAAAAGTGAGTAGAGCTAAGTTGAGCTGAATCGAGTTTAGCCAGTACCAGGCGATGGAAATGTGGCGTTTAATACAGCAGGGAGACAACACTTCTAGACAATTTTTTTATCTTATTTTTTTATCTAAAGTTGTGCGAGACCTTAGTTTGCCGCTTTAAGCTTCATTAGCAGCTCGGTGGGCACAGGACAGAAATCAGTTGTTTGACACACAGTAAATTAGAGTAAGAGCCAAAATATATTTGTTTCCTTTTTTTCCTTCATTCATTCATTCATTCATTTTTATTTCAATAAAAATCGTTGAATCAAATCATGACAAGAATCAGAATCGACTCTAATGGTGAGCTTGGCAAAGATTCCCACCTGTACTTTTCAGTGTCTAATATTTTGTAGCATTTACAAATCCACAGCAACTTAGAAGCTGTCACACAAAGGCAGGCAAATGTGCACGTGCAAACACATACACACAGGAGCACAACACACAGTCAGGTTAATTACAGTTCCATGTAAAAGGGTGAAAAAAGGTAATGAATGCCCTTTCCTTTTCAGGAAAATCTAATGCTTGCACTCAGCGATTCATTCCTGTCTTCAAAACCCTTCTCCCTTCAAACATCTTTCTCACCATTTCCATCTCAACCTGCTTTAACTTTCCCCGCCTTCCATTTCTTACTTTATCCAGTGCTCTCACCCCTCACTCACCCACAGAACACACTTTCAACATCTCTCCCTCACTCTTGCTTTCTCCGTCTCATTACTGTGGCAGAGAGAGAAGAGAGGTCAGTGTGTGGATCTTGAAGTCTGTTCAATTACACCTGCTGCAGGGTCCCTGCTAAGCCGACTAATGGAACGCAGCATGTCTCCTGACAGGCTGGCCACAGCTCTAGCTAGCCCAGTAAAAAGCTTAATTTAGCTCCTCACAGCTCAAAAAGTTAGCTAAACTAAGAAAAGTCATCATTTAGCCTCCAACACTTACGCAACTACAGGCCCAGAAAAATCTTCAAGAGACAAACTCTATAATTATATTTATGTGATGCAATAATGCTAATATAAGATGACTAGAGGAAAGATATCAATTCCCTTAAGAGGAGTACACGAGAAATACTATTACCAGATTAGATAATGTTTCAATGTTTACTAAGCCGTTTGACCTATGGACAATGTCCAGAGATGGATGTCCTTTTACACAACAGGAGATTGTCTGTGTCAAATGCACTGTCATCTACTGGAAATACTCTGTTTGGTTTATGCGAGGAATGTCACATTACAGTTAGAATATTTTTGTTGCTGTTTTTGAGTAAATGACCCTTCTTCTTTACCCTCTGATGTTTATATTCTTCCAGTTTTGTGCCAGTGAAATAGAAACATCATCAACACGCCTAGTAGCTCTGTGTGAATTCTCCAGACAATAGCCTGCTCTATTCACACATGGGCTCAAGTGGACATTACACAGACTTTATCCTAGCGAGGGGGCAGAGCAGAGTCCATGTAATGTTTAGTTCAACTCTTTGGACATGCAGCTCCTCTGGGTTATGTCTAGATAAGTTCAGGGTTGTATTGCATGCCTGAAAAGGGCTCTATACCCCTACTATATATATCCAGAATTATACATAGCACTATTATGCTTCACTGTGCTATAAACAATTGAAACTAATGGTACATGTTTATTAAATGTTTCATTGATGTTCAGCGAAGATGTATTACCTGGCATCCGGGGTCTGTTGGATCACAGACACTGAGGTGGGTTTACTCAGGCATGCAGGAGGCTTTGCAGGAGATGTGGCTATGTCTCTTCTAGACCGCTCTAAAACCTCTGTTGTTGAGAAATGCAAGATATGTGTGTTATATTAGATGCAAAAGCAGCAATGCTGAGAACAGTAGTAAGACAGCTTTAGTAATTAACCCCATGATCAGTGTTGCCAGAGAAACAAACAACCAGGTCTTTGGAAACAAGCCCAAAAGAAGCAACTTGGCTCTTAAAAAAAAATAAAAAAAGCCAGCAATCTTACCTACACACACACACACACACACACACACTCATACTAAGTGGACTTGGGAAAGCTTAACATGCATATGAAAGCACTAAAATAATGTTTGAAGAAAATATAACTCTTGACAGGCTTGAGTCGGACTAAAAATACAACTCACCACGTGTGTGCACACTATCGGAAGGGGCAGGTACAGGTTGTGTGCGTTTCTCATGCAATTTTTGTTCTTCAGGATGTACCTCTGCATCTTCATGCACACTGCAGACCACAGACAATACACTGATCGGGCATTATGACCACCTGTACATCTGTATGCACTTCAATGCAACACTTCCGCCTTAGGATTTGTGTTTAAGCTCAATATGTTTCAGATTGAAACATGGATTTGAAATGAAGCAGTCTTTTATTGAAGTGTAAACTTTAACCTTTAATTCAAGGGGTCTGGCAAAAGTATTGCATTAACCTTTTAAAAATTACAGCCATTTTTATACATAGTCCCCCATTTTCAGAGGCTCAAAAGCAACTGGACAGTTGACTTACAAGCAGTTTCCTGGCCAGCTATAGCATGTTCCCTGATTATTTCATGACAAATTAAGCAGATAAAAGGTCTAGAGCTGATTACAAGTGTTGAATCTGTATTTGGTTGCTGTCCATTGGAACTCTCGGTATGTGGTCTAAAGAGGTGTCAATGCAAGTAAAGGGGGCCATCAAAAGGCTTTAAAAAACAAAGCAAACACATCAGAGAGATAGCAGAAACTTTAGGAGTGGCCAAATCAACAATTTGGTCCATTCTCCAAAAGAAGCAAAGCACTGCTCAGAAACACCAAAAGGCCTGAAGGAGCACAGAAGACAACTACAGTGGATGATTGTAGAATTGTTATGACATGGGCATGTGTGGCTTCCAGTGGAACTAAATCACTGATGTTTATTGGTGACATACTATAACTACTGATAGAAGTAGTAGGATGAATTCTTATGTAAAAAGATCTATATTTGTCTCTCAAATTCAGCAAAATGCTGCAAAACTGACAGGAAGGTGTTTCATAGTACAGATGGATAAAAAAAAAAAAAAAAAAAAAACATGATCAACCTAGAGGCTTCTCAAGGCTAGGAAATTACATATTCATCAATGGCAGAGTCAGGCACCTGACCTCAGCCCAACTGAGCAACTTAAAGCAGCTGCAAAGGCCTGGCAAAGCATTTCACAGGAGGAAAACGCAGCATTTGGTGAAGCCCATGGTTTCCAGACTTCTGGCACTGATTTGACTGCAAAGGATTTGCATCCAAGTATTAAAAGTAAAAATTATATATATTTTTGTGTTAGTTTCTACAATTACTTTTGAGCCTCCGAAAATGGGGACTATGTATAAAAATGGCTGTAATTCCTAAACGGTGAACACGATATTTCTGTGAAAACCCTTGAATTAAAGCTGACAGTCTACACTTCAATAATATCCATTGCAGTGGTGTACAGAAGCCAAATTACACAAAAATATGCTCTTGTCCACATACTTTTGGACCTGACTGTGTACATATACACACACATACATATAGATACATACAGTATCTATAGAGGTCTGTCTTCCAGTCTACTTTGTTTACCTCAAGGGTAAATCTTGGTGAGAGGGGTACTCCAGCTGTGGCTCTTCATTCCTAGTGTTTGAGTCGCTGAACTCAGCTTGAGTAGCTTGTTGAAACCTAACAAGAACATGGGAAAAGAGAAAGGACATGTTCTGTCAGTCTGCAATGACAGACATTGAGGAAGTACAAGGAAACATAAAAACACAAACTAAAAACAGGTACCTCTGTCCAGTATCGCTTCCATATTCTGCCCTTTCCAGTGATCAACTTGAAGAAATTATCAACTATTGCCCACAAAGGCTAGCAGTGTCACCAGATATACTGTAGTTCATTGGTTTATGTATTTTACCTGCTGTAATCGAGATGTGACTTGCGTAGCTGCTGATTCTGTCTGTTAAGCCTCTCCTCCTGCTCAGTCAGCCGTGCCTGCAGCCTCTCTCTCTCCATCTCCAACTGCATTTTCTGCAGTAGTAACTGGTACCTCTTCTCATCCCAGTCCTCCTGACCCAGCAGAGGCCCAGTCAGGGGTACCTTGGCCTCTGAGTGCATGGCATTCACACTCTGGAGCCTATATGTAAATATGTTTTATTTATACAACATCTTTGCATTCTTTTTGTTTGCCTTAATAAAATGCACAATCTAAACTAAAGTAGAGTAAGGTATTAAAGTGGGATGACAGATAATGCATTGAGTTTGACTATACCTTTTACATTCACATTGGTTTACAGTGTTATGGTAGCCATTCTCTAGATGGGAGGCATTATCACTTCTCTGCTGCTGTGTTCCACAGCCATTGTTTTGACCACCATCTTGGCATTGCGCACATCTGTGGCAGGACTCTGAGTCTGGCTCCCTGCGTTCCTTTTTCTGACTCAGATGCTGTTTGATTTGCCCATCGGTTGGACTGAATTCACTAACACAGGAAAGACAGGCAGGGTTGCAACAGGTTTGGACTGTGCCTCTTCCCCCATCACCACTCCTGTGCCGCTGAGGCTGCTGTCCTTGAGTTACAGCAAGGCTGAGGTATGAGCCATCAAATAGTGAGCCATGAACTCTACTAGTAGATGCCCTGCTGGGGGCTTCCTCACTAGTGAGCACCTGGACAGAGAACAAAGAGGACAATGAACACATTTTGGCAAATTTAGGAAGCCTTTGAAAAATTGATGGAGTATTTCAGCCAAAAATGTCAGACTGCTCCATAAAATCCTAGAGCTGAGCAGGACTTCACACTGAAATTCACCAGTACTGAATTAGAAGGCACTTACCAACCTAATTTACTCATATTGTTACAGTATTGCAGTAAAAGCTTTCGCCATGTGTTTACAGTTGTTCCACAAGAGCGCACATATCATGACCTGAAGAATCTTTTTAGCTTTCAAGCCTATTTTATTCCATGTTACACTCATACAGTGACAACAGCAGCTGTGTATTGGGATTTAAGTGCTGCTAAAATGTGGGTGACTTACACAGAAGCACTGTGCCTGAGCTCACCCTGTGTAGATACTGATGCAGGACTCAAGCTGTGCCTGCTCTGCTAATGTGCTGCTTTCACTGTGCAGCTTGTATATACTGTACATAATGTTAGGGTATGACTGAGCTTTATAGCAGCACAGATGCAAATCATCCTTCAAAACTGTAAACTGGACCATGGCGACAAGATTAAGAGGACAATTTTCAACTGACAGCAAAGTCAAGGTCAGGAAGATTATGAGATAAACATGAGGAGGAAAGCCCATCTCATAGTTGACTGGGGAAGAGACTGTGACTAATTTGCTGAGGGTCAGAGAGCAGGCAAACACACATTATTCAGAGCCACCACAGGACACCGAGGTTGGCCAAGTCGTCTGTCCTTACAAAGGCTGAAGCCAGAGAGGCATCCTCGCTTCTAAAAAAGTCACCTTGAGAGAATTTTCACAATGTTGCAGTCTTATCGAGCCAGTGACCGAAATGAACTTCTGCAGTGATTTGTTATGCATTATTATGGCACTTGGCCATGGGACAATGTGCTGTTGTATGTGATTCCACTACAGCTATTCTCTGTATATAGAGCACAACCAGCATTTTTACTGTTCAAGATATGTAAAAGTAGATGAGTAATTGTATGTACAACCTACTGCACACAGTCTTACTCATACAGTACCTTGCTGTGGGCTGGTGCCTGGCTGAGCTGTGCAATGGACTGGTTGAGCTTTGCCTGTTGCTGAGAAAGGTATTGTTGGTAGAGCCCAAGCAATTCCTGGCACTCTTTGTACTGCTGCTGCAGGCCTGGGAGAGTAAGGGTTAAGTAACTAATAAACTTACAGAACAACAAAACTAAACACAACAGAACTGAGTCTTTATCTTAAAACAAAACAAAAAAAAAAAAACCTACCGCTAGGAAAAGTAGAGTGTGGATGAAATTGGACGACTGAAAGACATCCAGGCAGGCTTAAATATTTTAAAGATGAAATAGTTTACAAAATAAAAAATAAAAAAAATACCAGAACTCATTTGCACCTACGTGACATAAAATCATTAACTGCACAACAGAAAAAGTTTCTCTTGCAACCTATATAGAAAAAAGATAGATGCTGGATTTAGATTGACAATCTGAATTAAACCCTTGTTTCTGCAATCAATTACACATTGGACCAGAAAAGTATAGAGAACTGCAAAACAGAGAGGGAGGACAGGCCAGCCAAATCAAAGTTGTTGCTGTGGCAGAGAGTTTTCACCATCTGGGTCGGGCCAAGCTGTGTTGAGCTGAGCTGGGCAGTGCCGTGCCAGGCTATCTGCCAGACAGAGAGCTGGCAGACACAAGAAATCTAATCTGGAGCGCAACTACTGCTGTGCCTCAGGAGCCCACTAATGACAGTGGCAGCATCATGCCACAACAGCACATACAAAGATAATGAGCATGAGAAGGGGGAGACTACGCACTGACTCACACACATTCAATAATCAACCTCGGCCTGACTCTCACTTTCTAAAACACACACACAAACACAGATAGACATGAGAGCACAAATTCCCCACCCGTACTGTAAACAGCGCACACACACAAACACTACAATCAAGCAAGTACTACACACACTCCCACGCAAGCTGACCATAAAGTGTGCTCCTCCAGGCCATATCTTTTTATGATGGTGGCCCTGCTCCCCGAGCTGATGAGTTTCTCAGCATTCGTTTGGGGGAAAAAAAGCCCCATTTTAAGAGAAAATCAAAGTTCAAAGTAGAGTCTTATTGAAGGAATACTTGGCGGAACACTCCATAAGAAAACACTTTGGTTGTTAGAAGACTTCAATCAGGCTGTGGAAATGAAACAGAGGGAAATAGGCCTGGATGACTTTGAATTGAGGACTAGACACCAGACAAATGCAATGCAGCCGCTCCCATAGACATTGGGAAAATGTGAGGAAACGCTTTGATTGAACCCTCCATCTAACTAAGGCTCCTCTACCGCTGCACTGATAATGTCCACAGAAGGAGATCTATATGGATAGCAAGGACATCAGAAGGACATCATGTCATGTAAACCTGTGTGGGGAGGTCTGTTTATGCAGCATGAATAAGGGTGTTGAAGGGGAGATACTGAATAATCTTATACAGCTACCTCACCTCACCTCAGTCCAAGAGTTGTATGATGATTTAACAAAAAAAAAAAAAAAAAAAGCACACCACTCATATAAAACACCATTTCCACATGATTTTGCATGCCTAAAACACATTTCACAATACACACAAATATGCAGTACAGTACAATGGATACAGTACTGTACAGCCCCAGTACAAATCAGGTAGGGTGGGGGCCACACACAGAAGTAGGTGGGCTATAGGAACACAGCAGCATAGTATCTCAATGCCATAAACGAAGGCAATGTGTTAATGTGTTGACAGGCTGATGATGTGGTGCAACACTGATAAAATTCCACCTCCCTGCACATCACCACACTAAACATGTTTCCTCCACAGCCTTGGACTTCAGCCAATGGGGGCCAAGCACCTTAGTTTACATCAGAGCTGCAAAACGCCAACAATGACTTACTCCTCCCCCCTGCTCCAAAATTACTCCAAATCAAGGGGTTGGGTTGAAGAGGCTCCAGACAGGGCCTGTCAAAATGATTCACTTCCCTGTCAGGCCGAGGCTCAAATGAAATAATGAAACCCACTTCAAGGTGGAACAAATTTGCACGGGAGGGGGGAATATTTTAAACCTGCTTTAGCATACTGTGGCAAACAGATTGAGCCTGAGCAGGAAT